GGCCGGATTATTTCACTAGGTGATATTCATTTTTACTTTATCAGAAGAGGGATTTCAAGTTCAAATCTCATAAACTGAATTTTGGTGCATGTCCGTATAGATAGCGTTGCCATCAATCGAAGTTGTAATCTTTGAATTAAAGAACATATAACCTCAACTGAGATACTTTCGTTTTCGGTTGGAAAATCCAATGCAAGTGATGTGATTGTTCAGTTTGGAAATATCATTACCGTAAGGCTACTATCAATTGGTTTCAGCAGGTAGATATATATGCACATGTATAATTAATTTAAAGATTTGATGGATTCTATTAGCAACCAACATATCAAGTTACTCTCATTCACCCGAAAAAAGACTGTTGAAACTTGATATCAAGTTTACAAAATATATATATATATATACAAATTCACGAATATTTTTATTTAAAATGTTGGAATTTGAAAACTACCATGCAGAATCACCAAAGGTCAAGATATTCTGCCTATCCTTTGCTACAAATGAACACATACAGTTGAGTGAATAATAAGTTAGGAAAAAAATATTGATATAGATGCAACGAATTATAATGCTATTAAAAGAACAAAGGATGCCCTAGTTATCACGTAGGACCATATATATTTCAGTATTGATGAGAGACTCGGACAAGGTCCAAATCATAGAGTACAATTGAGTCTATGGTATTGAAGATGTTGAAGGCTACATTGCCCTAGAGGGGAAGGACTCTTTGCATCACTGGTTTTTAAGGTGTAGCTCAGTGTATCGTCGACATCCTACCTGCTGCAGGATAGAGGAATGAATGAAACAACCTTCATGGCCAATGCAATCCCATTTTTTTTATTTGTATAAACATCGCGCAGGCAATCAAAGTTATGGACGCAACTAGTCGTCATTAATAAGGTGAATCTTTATCTGATCCTTCATTTGGATATATATAGCCGTTATGGGCGTAGTGCCCTACGAGATAGGTAAATACTGCATGAAAGTTTCAAACATGGTCGTCAAATACATTAACGTTTTTCTTTCTTTCTTTTTATATTTTTTGGCAAAATTATGTCATATATGTTGAGAATGAGTCTCACATTGGTAGGATGAGAGATCTTGCATGAGCTTATAAGAAGTTGGGCTACTCCCTATATTGCTAATTGGTTTTATGATAGAACCTCAACTTTCTTTATGATATCAGAGTAGGTTGTCCCACGTGTGAAGCCCAATGACCACACGCGCTCTACGTCATCCCGTTGTGTTGTCCACGTGTTAGGCTTGAAAATTTTGCCACATGCGAGGGGATGTGTTGAGAATGAGTTACACATTGATGGGAGAAATATAACCTTGCATGGGCTTATATGAGGTTGGACTACTTCTTATATTATCAATTAGTTTTAAGGAAAACTAATGAAAAGGGTTTGAAAACTTTAAGTTTTAACGATAAGGACAAAATAAAGGATAAAGTGAATAGTATTAGGTTTTACTTTTTAGTGTAAAAATGTGAGTTTTCGTTAAATAAACAGTACCGAAAGTTTTTCGTTAAAGTTTCCTTAATTTTATAATGGAACCTCTTTCTTCAATATATATAATGTTGTTTCTTCAACTAGCAGCATCAAATTGCAGTTAGTTTGTCATGGTTGTACGTACGTTTGCTTTCGGTCTAAATGGCAGGTAATGGATAAGATAATCCGAACCTCGTGCTCATGTGCATCCCCTTTCGTATAATCGGGTTGAGAAGTACTCAGAACTCGGAACCTTTCAACATGTGTGCACAGGGCACATCCGCTCTAGCTACTTTTTATGGTCAGACATCTGCTCTACTTAATTTTCTCTTTTTAAGAAATTTCAACTTCTATCATTATATATGGAAAAGGATCCTTGCCGGATCTTTTTTCTGGAAATCCTAAGTATCCTGTGATCACGATCTTCATCGTATATCGTACGATCAGAAATCATTTTAAAATTTAAAATTTAAAATTAAATATAAATAGTACCTAACGAAAATTGACCGCATGATGTACGATGAACGGTCACGATCCGGATCCTTTTCCATTATATATTACTAGCATCGTGCCACACGCATACACGGGTGGCTATTGGTCTTTTATATTATTTTTATTTGAATGACTAATTTATATTTTTAATAAAAAAATTATTAAAAAAAAATGAAGCAAAAACATGAAACCACCCACTAACATGTGTTGAGAGTTGATGATGCGTGGACAATTTGTATCACATCGGTGAGGGATTGGCTTAGCTATGGGCTTTTATATATGGTCTTAAGTTACTCCTCATATTATCAATTGGTCTTATGATGGAATTTCAATTTTATCATGGACATAATAACTACAATGGGCAGAGTGACTCTATTTTCAGGATTAATTCTCAAATTCCTCATTGGCAACAAGCCATGTAAGAGGAGTATGATGCTTTGCATTCTCAAGGTACTTGGACCCTTGTTCCCTTACCTCCAGATAAAAATATTGTTGGTTGTAAATGGGTCTATACACTAAAGAGGAATCCTGATGGCTCTCTCTCTAGACATAAAGCTAGGTTAGTTGCACAGGATTTTAGTCAAGAAAAAGGGTTTGATTACGCAGAGACATTCAGTCCCATAGTACGACATACCATTGTTCGAGTTATTTTAGATTTGGCAACTACAAATAAGTGGTCTCTTAGACAACTTGATGTTACGAATGCATTTTTGCATGGAGAATTACATGAAGAGGTATATACGAAGCAACCTCAAATATTTATCAGTTCTCAATGTCCTAATCATGTTTGTAAACTTGTCAAGTCCTTGTATGGTCTTAAACAAGCACCATGGGCTTGGAATGACAAGTTTACAAGGTTATTTGGCTATGCTTGGATTCAAGACTTCTCTTTCAGACTCTAGCTTGTTTGTCAACACAATTCAAATAGAGGTGGTCATTCTTTTACTCTATGTTGATGATATCATCATCACAGGATCTAATACCATCTATGTTCAATACGTAATTGATGATCTTGCTGTTGTGTTTGATCTAAGGACATGGGGCAATTAACTTACTTCTTAGGTTTACAAATTCATTATAAGCCATCTGAAGGAATTTTTGCAAACCAAGAAAAGTACATCAAAGATGTGATTCATAAGGCAGGGATGGATAATTGTAAGCCTTGTTCTAGAACTTGTGTGCCACATCAATCAATTCTTACTCATGAAGGTGAATTGCTACCTGATGCCACTATATATAGGAGTCTAATTAGAGATGTGCAACATTTGATCTTTACACAACCTGATATTGTATATGATGTCAATAATATGTGCCGGTTTATGAGTTCTCCAACTGATATACATTTCCGTTTGGTTAAAAGAATTATCAGGTTTCTTCATGGCATTATGCAATGTGGTTTGAATTTTTCTCCTGGTATTGGGGTAGAAGTTAGAGCCTATAGTGACTCAGACTGGGCAGTTGATGTCAATACCCGAAGATCCGTTACTGGTTATGTGATTTATCTTGGTGATAATCCTGTTTCCTAGCAATCTAAAAAGCAGAACTCTGTTTCTTGGAGTTCTACTGAGGTTGAATACAAAACTTAGCTAATGCAGCAGTTGATATTTGTTGGATTCGGTTGATATTGAAGGATATGGGTGTGGTTTTACATCAGCCTCCTCTTTTATATTGTGATAATCAGTCTGCTATTGCCTTAAGTCTCAATCCAGTTCAACATTCTAGGATTAAACACTTAGAAACCAACTTTTATTTATTTAGAGAAAGAGTTCAGAGAGGGGATTTTCAAGTCCAGTACATTTTTCACAAAAAAAACCAAGTGGCAGATGTGTTAACTAAAGATTACATGATCCTGACTTCATCAAACATTGTACCAATCTTAAACTAGGAAGTCCTAGTTATGATTGATCGAAGATATTGGCTATAGATGACATGTACACTTGTGCCATATCATTATGTGCCACGTCATTAGAAGCTTACAAGTTAAGTTAAGCGGTTGTAAACAGAATGTATAAAAAGGGATTTTCCCTCTCTTGTAAAGTACTGTTGCTTTTTCTGAGAAATACAAGTTGTCTTCTTCTCTAAGTTTCTTCTTTCCGATCATCTTCATTTCTTCTTTCTACAATATTGATCTTAGTGTTAATAACGTGGAAATACTGGCATAAGCTAAAACCTAAGCTTTTTTTTCCTTCACTTCATAAATACCATATGCTACACATTTTGTGTATATGAACACTTTTTATTTTTGTTTTTAAAATGGGAAGCAAGAGGGAGAAAGAGTGGGAGTGGGAATGAGAGATTTTTGTTTTATTTTTTTCGTTTTTTTTTTAATATTAGATATATCTAACCGCACCTGTAGGTGAGACTTTAAATAACAACCAGTAAAGTTTGGATATGTAAAATTACATTATTGCCCATCATTTTTTTGGTATGATATAAGACTATATAGTCACCCTTTTTTAATTGACAAAAAAGATTCTATTATAGGTAGTTCTATACACACACATGGTTATTTGTTTCTTTATATTTCGCCAGGATGAACTCTCGTAAGGGAAGCAAATTCTTCATTTTTGGCTAATTTCACGAATTCACGCAGTATTGAAATTAATTGAATTATTGGATTTGCTTGATAAACAACGTAGTATTATGTACGTAAATTTGTGTTAGAATACGACCTTATGCAAGTTACGTACGTAGTTTATCATCAATCTGCTTCAAGTCAAAACTTGTTTTTTATTGGTCTCTAATAGTTTTATTATGGTGGTCTTTTTCGCACACTCATTTTACTTCTCACATACGATGTTAATTTCTATCATTTGATATTTTTCAATTCATTTTATCCCATAGCTGGAAAATTAAGAAAAGTGTGGAGAAGGTAGAGACAATTTTATTCACGAAATAATACGAAAATAACTAGTTTCAAGTCAAGGTTTGTTAAATCACATGTTATTGACTCAATCCGTTAAGCACCCATTAAACAACAAGTTAATATAAGTCAACATGCGAGTAACCAGTTTCAACCTATTTATAAATCACAATTGATTCTTTATAATATTTTTGGAATTTTGGTGTGAGATGAAAACAAAAACATGGATAGGAAAAGATTTATGGCAAAGTGGAAACAAAGTTCGAATCACAAACCATGCCACAAATCCCATACGAAAATCCCCACTACCCTCCTCAAAACAACCAAAACCAAATCCCCTCAAATCCAAAGTACCCCAAACAAATCCATGATTTCTGCACAACAAAGCAAAAACCAAATCCTACAAATTGGTCTCTTAAATTCTAAGGAATCACCTCTCTCAACTCTCAAGGATCACCCACGGAGGCGCTTCTCGTGTACACCCGAATTCGTCAAGGCCGTGCTTCTCTTCCGTGCATAGATCATGGGAAGGAATTGCACGCTGAGTCTATCAAGTCTGGAATGAATTCTGATGTCTTGGTTGGCACGTCACTGGTTGACATGTATGCGAAATGCGGGCAAGTTTTCAAGTCCTGAGAAGCATTTGAAAAAAAAAAAATGCAAGCTGAAGGCTTTAAGCCAGATGAATTTACTTTTGTCAGCGTTTTATCTGCCTGTGCTTAGTCTGGGCTGTTGGACCTTGGCAAGGATATACATTCAATGTTAGGCCATAGAAGTATAAAGCTTAGTCAGATAGTTCTGAATGCACTTGTAGACATGTAAGCAATATGTGGTGATTTGATGTAAGCAATAGAAGTAAAAAGGTATTCTGCACATTCAACACAATTTGCCAATGTTCGTAACAACGAACTCATCTATGCTGCAGACACTTTCGTTCTTTTCCCTTTGTGTATATTACCCGTATGAAAACCAAAATGAAGAATTTCATCTGATGCTACCTCATGAGTCGTGTTACAAAAAAAGATCACTTAGACGACACGAAAGGAGTCGGCTATTTTTTTCAAGTCCTTGTAATGCCTCTTCCACTGAAGACCTACAAAACCCAAAGCAAGTGAACGGTTACTTTGTCTTCAGGTATGGCTACTGAATCATTTATTTTTTTCATAAAAAGCAGCAGGTCAAAGTGGAGTAAGTATCCTTACCACTTCCAGTTACGTTAAACAAGTACAGGCGGTTCCCAGCTGCAGTTGCTGTTATCAGAGCATGTGGTGGCTCCAACTCATACTGGTAATATGTTCTTCCAGAGTCTTGTGCAACATTTATGCTCATAACCTTTCCTTCAACATTTTCGCCAATAACTTCCGGTCCAAATGCGTTGATCACCGTCTCTGGACGTCCAATTTTTTCAATTGTGGCATCTCCATCAAGATCTGCGCAACAACCAAAGTTTAGATTTCATGTTTAAGATTGATTCAACTAATAGAACTGCACTTGCGTCTAAGTTTTTAGGTCCTGTTGCTGAAAGAAACTGAGAAATGTTGATTGTTTCAAGACTCACTATCTGCAAATCTCAGAACGGGAGCAACAATGACAGAAATGCGTCCCTCCTTGGGGCTACCAAATCTCAAATCGATCTCTGTACCGCCTAGATCCGCTATTGATACTGGAACCTGATGCATGGAATAGAAGACAAATACGTAAAATTGAGGCAGTTCTCAGACAGAAGGTAAGGGGAGAAGATACAAGACAAGAAAGCTTAAGCTTGAATCTTTCAGTGTTCTTTAGCAACACAAATATCATGTACAACGTAAGCTCTTGGCTTTAACGGATTGGATTATTACCTCTTCCCAGTCTTGAGGAACTGAAAAGAGATAAGGGATGATAGGGCTCCAACCAACGCCGTGCCCTCCGGACTTCTCATCCGGTCTCCGGTATGTCCTCCAACCTGTCTAAGCATATACTTCACAGTGAATGAGACTGCAGGATTTTGTTGCTAACTTGCTATGAGCAGTGTAAGATGAAGGAAAGGATACCAACCTTGCTCATCCGGTTCGGACAGACCGGGAATCCGCCCGGCCAGAAGACCTTGTTTCACCACTGCCAATCCCTCTCTCGGAAAACCAAACACTTGAGAAGAAAGCAAAGAAACTCCTGCGGACAGCAACACTGATCGTCTCTTCAAAATCCCGGAGAATTTATCAGCTTCTCCCTCAACGAAACCATTTTCTGTTGAACTTGAGGCAGCTTTTGTCCTGCAAGTTCCACGTTCAAATGCAGACTGCACAACCAAACTGTGCGAAAATCTGCAACTGGTAAGCAAGGCTGTTGTCATTTCCTCTACCACTTTACTAGCACAAGAAACAAGCGAGAATTTCAGTAAATTTTTCAGCTTGCGACCAGATAAATTTAAGACCAATAGAACCGTGTGGAAGTTGAGGTTCTCGGTGCTTCTGATTTTTTTAGTATTTGTGGTGCACAAATCTTGGATTTTTCCAAAGAATACACGTGGAACTTTATATCATTTGTGATAAATTAATCTTTTTTTTTTTTTTTTTTTTTTAACGAAGAATAGCATTAATATGTCAAATTGTTAGTTATGAGCTGAGAAAGAGATCGATTAAAATTGAACTGACACTAAAATGCATAGACATGATTGTTTTCCGCAACTGCAGTAAAATATCATCTGCAATAAATAAAGCCCATTGGCGATTACATTTTTTTTTATACAAGGAGGGAAATTGAAAAGTATAAACACTTTTAACTATCAATACACAAAATACAATAAATTTAGATATGAAAAAAATGATTTGAATTTTAGAACGACAGAGAAACTATAGAAAGAAGTTGTACAGATGATTCCATGCCATAGTCAAGGCAAAGGCATCGGCGGTCTCCAATCAGAAAATTCTACCAAGTTTCTATTTACAACAGATCCATTGTGCAACCAGAATGTTTCCGTCGACTGGTGAAACAGCCTCACTTTCCTCTGAAGCTCCCAAAGAATCCCATGCATTGCCGAACACGAAGCTGATTCTGAAGCATACGCCCATAAACATCGTACTTGTCTTCCCCGGCTTATCATCCCCTCTATATTTTTATCTGCAGGAGAGGTATAACGAAGAAGCAAAACGTTAAAACAGAAAGAAGAAAGCTTCGATATGCTGAAACAAAATTTAACCCGGTGTAAGATGTGATGGAGTGCTGCATTTGACCTGGTAGTGACTCTAGGTACTGCAAAAGCTCGGGACCTATTAAAGTAGATGGCCATTTAATTGATATCTGGGTGTAGTCTACAACATTTTGGAAGGGCAGTTCCACTTGATCTGATAATATCACAGGGACACACTCCTGCAGCAGCAAGAAAAGCATTAAATCTATGACCAAAAGACTTATAAGTAAAAAGCAGAGAGCAAGAGAGAGATAGAGGGAGAGACCACAAAAAAAGCCTCGTAAAATCGAAGAGTCCATGATGACTCCCCGCGTGGGGCAAGACAGAACTTGGCATTGCGCAGGTGTTCAAAGTAATCTATCCTTCCCAATTTTTCAGGGCCACTGAACTTCAACTCCGGACATTCCAACTGTTTATAATATCAACAAGCATATTTGAATATCTCTCCTTAATAACAGAGTAAAAGCTAAAGTACTAATTTACCAATTAAAGATAATGATGTCCAATGATACAAATCAGGCATTTGAATCAAAAACAAACACAAATTCCACCAAACCAAACAAAACAAATGCCTAAACTAAAGGAGAAGGTCTAGGTCTTTAACATAGCGAAAGTCTAGCGAATCAATTACAGCTCAAAGCCAATGTCCAGAGTCAAATGTTCAGTAAGGTTGGTGAAACATGAAGTTGGTACCTTTTTTGTGCCTTCACAATTTCTTCAATCCACATAAAAATATTTCAAAGATTATACACAAGCTATTTGTATTTAGTGTTCACAAGTTCCAACTAGTTATGTGCTTATCAAGTAAATGCACCAAATGTGCTTTCGTTTGCTAGTTCCACAAACTTTATAAGTGGATAACCAATTAACAGAATCAACAAATATCTGGAGGGTAAGTAGAATCCTACAAATATTTAAACTTCATATTTAAAATGAACACCGCATCAAAGCTGGAAGAACATCACATGCATAAAATTCCACAATTCATGTCATACAAGGAAATACACCTTATCTGGAAATTTCTTTGAAAGCTCTATCAACTTAAGACGGCCAGCCTTTCCTTGCGCACGGCCTAAATAGTTTGCTAGATACTTCCGCTTTGATATAGGCAAGGGGTGGACCAAGGTGGGCCCATTTGTAGTCATTCCATCCTCAACATTTCCAGGAATTATGATATCTTTCCACGTATTAAAGGCACTTGTATCTTTCTTATCAGTCCGATCACCCTGCACAAACATTATATATAACTATCTTTAATGCAATCAAACAAATTACAACTAGCGTAGCAATGCCAATACCAAACTCTTGAAATGTGGAAACAACAGATACCAAAGAAACTTGTACATCCTATATATGAAACATGTTACATGTATGATCTATATATGAAAAACAAAGAAAAAAAAGAGTGACAATGAGACAAGTTGAACTTTATTTTCTTAACGATAACTTATTTTAGGCGGAATCTTCTAATATACAGTCAAATATTGGATATGTAATACCACCGTATATTAAAACCCTCTCAACTTATTCTAAGATAAACAATTCAAACCTGCCCTCTTTTTCACTTAACTTTCATTGGAAATAGCAACAGTAGATTGTGACATTCCAAACACATCTAGCACTAAATTTAATTTTGTTTTGTGCAATAGAACCTATTTATTCATACAAGGTAATGTTTAATATCAAATAGTGATAATACAAAAAGGCATGAGGTTTGACAATCAATGGTTGATAACACCACCACTGTGCCTCTGACATGTACAGATTCCTAACGTGGAAATTGATAACATCACAACTGTGTTTGAGGTCAACTTGATTGATACTAAATAGTTATGTCCATAATGATAATTTTGGCCAATCAGTAGCACTGCAAAATTTGTAGAATACCTTAAGCATAAAAGATAAGCTGGAATACGGAAATACCTCAGGGGTTAGAATAATGGAACGATTTATAAATGTTGCCCAAGATCTAAATAAGTGAGCTCCAGCACCACTGCAGTTGAGAAAGCAAGAAAGTGAGCATCATTGACAGAACAACTTGACAAAGTTTGATATATTATTTTCAGAAGAACAAAATTTTCATAAGCAGTAACTTTTGACAAGTCCATCGCATTGTTATGATAAACTTTAAACAATTTTCTCAAAATTAAATATAGGGAAATATAATAAACTTATCACATTTTCCATGGAATCTTCATGCAATTGAAAGTCCGAAATCTTCATTTCCATAAAAATGACAACAAAAATATAATGTTTAAGATCTGATTTCTTCCTTCTATCCTAGGTCAGATAAAAGGATCTGCAGGATTTAAGCGTCTTACATCCCAAATCACACAAATAGGGCAATACCAGAACCACTCAGTTAATTCATTGTACTGACTGAGCTAAAGACTCATATTAGTTGTTTCTTTTTAGCCTTCTTCCAACATGTGTGCTCAAAATTATGTCCCAAATATTGCTCTGATACATATATACAATAAAAAACAACTACTTGTCTAGTTATGCTTATCCCCCAAATAAAAGATTTAACGCCGGCACAAGGTATGATTTCAGGCCAAAACCAAAACGAAAAATCATTAATGACCATTAGGAAACAAGTTCTCTACCTTGGAAATACAAATATGTGGTCACGGCCACCAGATCGCCTGAAATATGGCATTTGACTTAACACCTGCAAGGAAAATTTTGACGGAATGAGCATCACATAACAGGATTTAAGCTTACGCAAAGATACAAGAAACACGTAGGCTAAAAGTTTTCAAAGGAAATGAAAAAGAATTTACCTTCACATATGTCTGGTTAATCTCCTTATCATTAAGACCCCCCATCATCCGAATGCATTTAGTATACTGTAGGCACAAAAAATAAGGTCTGCTTCATCTTTCTTCCTTGTCCGGAATCTCGAATTTAGCAGTAGCCTGTGTATTTTAACCTACATTTCATAACTAACCACATTCAAGGCCACATTTCTGATCACATACTTGCAATAAGAATTTCAAAAAGTTTCCTTTTTTCATCAATTAGCAAGTTTTTAAGTGACAAAACACAAAATCCGTGACCAATAATTCAACAGAAATTAAATTCTCTTAGAAATTTAAGTTCATTAAACGACTAAAAAATTGAAGAAATTTAAATTTCAAGCAAAGCAAAAAACAGTGGGAAAAAAAGGAAATTACTTGAGTAGCCCCACTGGCCTTTCAAGCAAGCCTTGGGGTCGATGACACCATCGCGACCGCGCATCAATGCCTTGAGGCCGTCGATCTCGCGGTCATCGTAGACGTAGATCTTGAGGTCGAGTTGGGGGCCGTACCCTCGTTGGGGCCACAAGAGATCTCGGCCGCGGTGACATGGACGGAGCTCCAGTGAATTGGGGAGGAGATCTACGGCGGGGAAGTGAGAGGCGCAGGGGCGGAAGGAGCGGTTTAAGAGACTGGTGAAGAAGAAGGTGGCGGCGACCAAGAGGAGGGCTCCGATCTGATGAGTGCGGGTGCAGAGAGGCTGCTGGTGGTGCTGCGCGCTGAATGGTCGGGCTTTGTTGTTTACGCTTCCCATTTTCGGAGTGGGGAAACGATTATCATCAGTGTTGGTCCTGCTGGATGGCAGTGGGGTTCTTCTGCTCATAGGCAAGAACGGAACGAGTTGAACTCTTCTGTCACAGTTTTATCTGTCCCTCCCTGTCCCTGTCCTATTTGGCTGACACCTGTACACATTTTACAAACCGCTTAACCCCGCGAAAAAACTTGCAGTAAGACGTCAGCTGCTGTTAAGCATAAAGACGCATCACCTTCAACGATATTGTTATGCTTGTTAATCGCCATTCAAATTCAACTTTGATAACGACTTGCCAAATTTTAAATTGTATGGATGAAAAATGTATCAAATAATCAATTTTGGAATGCGATCAATAAAATACCATTTTTTATCTCATACCTCTGCATTGTACTTATAAGACAAATTCAAGTATACACTGACAACGTTTTTCTTTTCACGAATGTCATTTTATTAAGGGACCGTTTGGATTATCACTTCCATAGCACCAGTTCAGAAACCAGCAGGAAACCCACCTTTTTCTTGAATCACTCACTGCCACAATCTCCCGAGTGCCTTCATTTTCCCTCAAATTCTTCATGCGTTGAACTATAAACTGGCAAATAGCTTCAGAAGGAAAAGGCTTAGGACATGGCCCTTGTTTCGTAGGGCTTTACTGATTTGAACAGGAACTTCAAAGTGATTGTCAGTCACAATAATGAACCACATTAGGTAGTAGCTGCTTAGACAGAAATGCTTCGGATTAGTAGGATTAACTAATAACTAGCACAGAAAGCTCAATGCAAGAAAAAGCTGAAGTGGGACTGTGGCAATAAGTTGCATATCAAGGATAACTACTATCTTGACCAATCACACTGAAATAAATAGAAAATAAAAAAGACAGCCCTCAAGTCCTAGTAATCAGCTGCTCTCCAAGACACTGTTGCCTATAAACATTGGTCGTAGTTTTGAGTAGCATTATATGGTATGGTCGAGGTCATAAATCAACGAATTCTATGACGTTGCAGTCCTGCAAGGGACGTGCTATTTATTGAACACAGACGACATAAACTAACTAAGAAAAAGATGATTTAAACTTCGTAGTCAGAACGTTTAGAAACTTGACAGTACTCAAGAACTTTCGGTTTAAAGTCAAATAACATATCTCAAAACCAATGTGGTGCCTTCGGTTTAAAATGTCACTTCTCTACAACTCATTTCCTGATGGACCTTCAGTTTAACTAGAGGAAAGTTCAGGTGTAATTGACAAATCTGACCTAGTAATGTGGAACACTTTCTTTTAAGCATTCTCGACCATTGATTCGCTAGCACATGATCAGTCTAATTGTATGCCTAAAAACAAATTTTTTCATTGATATTTTCCATTGCCTTCATATATATAGTTCTTGTATCTTCCCGTCTCTCTCCCATCTACTATTTACATCGGTAATGCATTACCTTTAGGACTATAGCAGGTGTCATGGACGATAATGGCCTTTTTCCTGGCCTGATAAAATTGGTTGGTGCTGGTGGTTGTCTTGTAGAATCATTTCTAGGTATAGAGAAATCCATTTCATTGTTTAAGACTATTCCAGTACTTGACGACAGTACATGTGCACCGAAGTATATCCATTCACGATACTAGTCATGGAGATGGCATTTTCCTGAGGATCTATGACAGACAAATGACTAGCGTCGTGATCATCGATCTGACTCCACCTAGTGTCTCAGCAGATACAGGCTTCCTCAGCTTAACTCTAATTTTACAAATCCTTCATTGTTAGTATTCCTCCAGGCTTCTGAATATCACTAACCAATCTCAACCTAATCGATCAATTATACAAGGCTATGGGACCAAACTTTGAAATTTGACCGAGTGTCTCTGCCAGTTTCATGTTACGGCATGTCTCACCTGTTTTCAAAAGAGTCCCATTTAATGTAAATATATGACGAAGTCCCTCGTCTGCAAAGGTTCCTGATTTCGTCTTAACCATTTGCATGTGGAGGTATGGTGAAATCATAAATCCTAAACGAGCAGACGAGCAGCAGGTTTTACAAGTCTTTCCCACGGAACCCTTCCATCCACGTTTAATGTAAAACACAAACCTCAGAAACAAGCAGGGGGCAGTTTCTCTTATATCAAAGGCTTGTGCTTCACCGCTGGCTAGCCTTACAAGCATGAAAGCTCCGCTCCAAGCCCACTTGATGCTGGCAAAACCTCTAAGCACAGAGCAGCAACTACTGATGCATCAACGGCGTTGCCACCTTCATGAAGCATCCATCCCAATTCTAGAACATTGGCGATCATCAGTGGCGAGGTGCACTGAAATGACCCTCTCGCCTACTTTTGGTGAAACCGCTCGTGGCATCAAAGCTTGAGAGGAACACAAGTAAAATGGTAAGCAACAACAATGGCATCAGATCTGCAAGTAAAGAATCAACAAGAGAAACATAATCTGATCAACAACTTTTGAGTCTCAAGTCTCAACCAAATGAAAATAAATTGGCAACAGGAGCCACATAAACACATTGTCGTGAATTCATGGTAATTAAAGATTCACTTCTCACATTTGACTCCTATTAGGGTAAGGCTTTGATTGTTACTCAAGCTATGATCCATTTATATATCATAGAAAGTCTGGTATTTTTTTTGGCGGTGCTATTCACGTACTTTTTTTTACCTTTTGCACACCCCTTCTTAATTTTCACCCGTTAGATCGAATGAATTGAAAAGAATCAAATAACAGAAATGAAGAGAGATGGGTGTAAGATAAAAAGGGTGTGTGGCCACATTATCCTTTACCAGAGTTTTCCCAATGTAGTTTGTACACAAATGAAACAGTTAAATGATGAAATAGAAAACACATGTACTAGATTGGCTGGCTTTGATGCTTTCTCTTCTTGTATTTTTTTTTTATAGAAAAATGTTGGCAACCTTTGCACTAAATTTTATATTTGGACATTTTCACCTTTTCAAATGATACGCGTAATTTTTTACATAAAAAAGGACCTTTAATGCTTTTCAAATTATATTTTCTATTTTTCATCATTAATTTCTAGTAAAAAACTTTTTGTGGAATAAAATGACATGTGTCATTAGAAAATGTAAAAAGTTAGTACAAAAATTGCTAACACTCTTTTTATACGCTCTTCTTATGTTTAGGTCATAACCATTGCTAAGTTAGCAACCGTTCTCATTCTCACAACGCTTATCATGTATAGAGTATGTGTAGTCGTTAGATTTCATACGTAGACTAACATGTCATGATACCACGAACAAAATTGTAGTTCCACGCTAAAATCAATTGCCATAACTTTATGAGCAAATACAAAATGCTCAAAAACGTAACAAATAAATGCTTCCGACTAGTGAGTGGGCGTAATTCAATCCATAAGCAATTAAGCATCCATTTATTTATCGTAGGACCAAGGACCCGGGATTGATGTCAGTGTATAATCATTGCAGAAGAGGAACACTTATCTCTTGTTCTCCCCATTAATTGGAGGCTACTGCTCTCTCTGCCAAGCCGATGAACCTGATATGAATATGCACACCGAAAACAAGGTGCTCTTAAAAAATTATGTATAATTTTGGATAGAACCGTCAATCAGTATAAATTGGATTGGAATCAGTGTGAATCAAATCGTATGATTTTAATAATAAATTTAAGTAAAATCGTATCGAACCAAACCGTTGATATTTTTCGATTTCAATTCAAAAGTAAAACCAGGCTAAACTGAACTGTGCCCACTCTTAATCGTAAGAGAAGAAAACAAATGATGCAATAATTCATCAATCAACACCCAAATGTCCACGTTTGAATGAAACAAATCATGGAAACATATTTTAAATTACAAAAACTACCTACATGACATTTTTCTTTGATATATTTGATGAAATGTTGAAAATATGTGGAATAGGATGGTTTCTTAGTTGAATTTGGATTTAGTTTTGAGTACTAATGGAAGGGAAAGTCAAACAAATTGAAAAATTTGAAGCGGATACTTATAGATACTATGGTTAGAAGATATAATTATGAAACAGAGGTTCATGACAAAATAAGTACGAAAATATCTAATAAGACTTAGAAAAAAAACTTTAAAGAAAATATATAGAGTACTTTGAGTTAATAAAAAATTTAACGCAAAACTGTGCGCAATAACGTTTTATGATCCATACCACCCACCTCCCATAATAAGATTGGTTTTGTTGTTGGCGGTGTTATAAAATTAATTAGAAGCAAATTAGCCAATGTTCATGTAATTAGATTACTATTTGATTTTGGATGTGGGTTTGGATTTAATGAATTTGATATGAAAGGGATGGTAATATAAACACATTTCTGGTATTCGCGCGATTGGCAACGCCACTCTCTCCTACCAAAACCCTAGACCCCCAAATTTGATCCGAATCCATCACAGCCATGGCTCGTCACAGAGACGAATATGACGACGAGATGGAGGAAGAGGAAGAATACGACCCGGACCAAGCTATAGACGAGGACGACGAGGAGGAAGAGGAGGAACGACGAGGAGGAGGACGGCGGCCCAGTCAGAAGCGGAGGAGATCGGATTTCATAGACGATGTAGCAGAGGAGGACGATGACGAGGAGGAAGAGGAGTACGATGAGGATGACGAGGCTTATGGTGGTGGTGGTGGTGCGAGTCGTAAGAGGAAGAACAAGAGGCCCTCTGGGTCGCAGTTTCTCGACATTGAGGCCGAGGTCGATACCGACGAAGAAGAAGAAGACGAGGAGGGGGATGATGGTACGCTCTACTGTTCCTTTTTCTACTCTTGTTTTGTTTAGTTATTAACCTTTTTGTTGGTATTTTACAGAAATTTTATTGCTTTTTTTTTTGAGATTTAGGGTTATGAATTTGGACTGGGTTGGAATTTAGGTTATAAGCTATTTTGGCATGAATGAATGTTATAGAAATTTTAGTCGACAAATGCTGGTAATGAATTGTAAGTGATTCGGGAACGGTAGTGTATTAGTATTGTGGGAATCCTTTGATTATGGTTGTACTTAGGTTCTTACAAGTTTCAGACTGATCAATGTCTTCTTTTTGTTCTCTTGATATTTCTTATATAAGTTTGAACTACGGTTGTTCCATACGAAAGTGAATTTTGGTGTTAATCACGTCTATTGATAGATTTGTTTTACTGGGATTTGTTTTTCATTCATAGTTCTAGTTTCTTCTTTTTCTTTTGGTTAAGCTTTAAATGTTATATGGGTGTATGTGAAGTCTTTGGGCCTTATAAATAATCATCTGATTTTCCTTGTTCGTTGGATATCCAAGTAAAGGTGCAAAATGGTATCATTATGAGGAGAAATGAGTTTAGTACTATTCATGCCTCCTTTGCTGGAGTTATTTTTCGTGGTCCCTGTAATTGCGGACTTATATCCACTGAATAATCTTTGCGAGTTTTTATGAGTTATGTCTTGTAATATGGTTCTTTTTATAATTAATTGCCATATCGTTTGGGATGCTAAGAGATTTGACCCTCTAGAAGACTGGCTTGTAATGTCACTATCAAAATTATGAAAGATTAGGAATTATGATAAAAGAGGTCTACGAGAAGGACTATGGGAAGAACTCAATTCGTAGGAGGCATGTGAATTCTTCGTCCAATTTCCCTTCCTCTACACCGGGAGCTGAAGTATACACCAGTGGCTCTTAATCTGTTTAGAAACTCGTGTTCTCGATAGAATTAGGTTATAGGCCTTCATTTCAAAAATGTCTAGAGATTAAGTATGGCTAAAGGTCAACTTTGGCCGTTTCTTTAGTTTTTTGTTTTGGGGGGTTTGTTAACTTGGCAAGAAACCATGAGAAAACAAGCTTGTCCTTTTGCTAGGAAGTTCTTAAATAAGCTGTGTGGGGTGGTGACTTTCACTTGAGTAATGGAGGGACAAGTGTCTCATCACAATGAATAATGCTATGTATGTTCCTGTTAGAATTAGAGATAAAATAAGAAAGTGCTGTTGAATTCAACCATTTTTTCTTGTTTTTTTCTTTCAGTTTTAAGTAATTTTCCATGGAATTCTTGTCTTCCGAACAGTTTATGTAGATATCTGTTCAAATTTAAATAATTAAATTATTTTATTAAATTGATTTCAATTGATTCTGTGTATGTTTTTTTTCCCCTTCTAAGTAAGGTTTATAGAACGGCTGTAATTATCTCTTCATGCGTGTGTGCATGATGATTAATTTCCACTTGAGTTTGATGGGGATGTGGAGTAAATAAGAAATCATGATGATTTTCTTTCCATTCCCATGTATTGGTGATGATTGTTAAATTGTCTTTGTGCAGACTTTATTGCTGACAATGCACCTGATCTACCTGAAGAAGAGGATGGTAGAAGGATGCGTCATCGGCCGTTGATGCAAGAAGATGAGCAAGAAGATCTTGAAGAGATTGAGAGAAATCTTCAAGAGCGGTATGGGAAGTCAAGTCATAGGGAGTATGATGAAGACACCACAGATGTGGATCAGCAAGCTCTTTTACCTTCTGTTAGGGACCCAAAGTTGTGGATGGTGAAATGTGCGGTATGATTATTTCTCTTGCATCATAAGGTCATAGTTCCAATTTTTGAGGGAACGCTAATGATTTATTTGCTAATGCTTACCAGATCGGTCGTGAGCGGGAGGTAGCTGTTTGCTTAATGCAAAAGTATATCGATAAACCTGAACTGCAGATCAGATCTGTTATTGCTCTTGACCACCTTAAAAACTATGTATACATTGAAGCGGACAAAGAAGCCCATGTGAGGGAGGTATGCTTTTGTTGGCATATGCATAAATTTGTGATGGTTTATGTATCCACATAAGGCTAAATTTGACATTTGCACCATATGGAAATTCTTATGTCTTTGATTATTGTATTTGTTTTGGTTTCAGGCTTGCAAAGGTCTGCGCAATATATTTGGCCAGAAAATAATGCTTGTTCCAATTAGAGAAATGACTGATGTTCTTTCGGTTGAAAGCAAGGCTATTGATCTTTCTAGGGATACGTGGGTCAGAATGAAGAGTGGGACATATAAAGGAGACCTTGCACAGGTAGGGATGGTATTTTTCTTACAGTGTCCTGTGATACTTTGTCTAACTGCTACACTTATTTTCTATAGGTTGCGGATGTGGACAATGTGCGGCAGAGAGTTACAGTTAAATTAATTCCAAGGATTGATTTACAAGCTCTTGCAAATAAAATGGTAAAGTTCGTCTTATATTTTTTGTTGTGTCTGTCCAAGTCTTCTCTGTGTACATGTGTAATCTGTTTATTTTCATTCCTATTTTATCCATTTATTGAAGTATGCTTTCATCAAATTGATTCTTGGAATTATCATTTTTTGTAATATTTCCGCCTCCCCATAAGCATGTATTATCCAATCACATTGATCAGGGTAATTTGAGATGACTTGTTTATGACACAGGATGGCAGAGAAGTTGTGAGAACAAAAGCATTTGTTCCTCCTCCACGTTTATTAAATATTGAGGAAGCAAGGTAATACTGTAAAACTTTCTTACAATGGTGTCTCCTGTCAATGTATTGTTAGATTAACTTCTTACACTGTCCCTTGTAAACTTTTTTCAGGGAACTGCATATTCTTGGAGATCGTAAACAAGATCGGATGACTGGTGATTATTATCAGACGATTAATGGCATGATGTTTAAAGATGGTTTCCTGTATAAAGCAGTATCAATCAAATCAATTAGTACTCAGAACATACATCCCACGTTTGACGAACTTGAAAAATTTCGGAAGCCCAGCGAGAATGGTGATGGAGATGTTGCAAGTCTGTCAACTTTATTTTCAAACAGAAAGAAGGGACACTTTCTGAAGGGCGATGCAGTTATTGTTGTCAAGGGAGATCTAAAAAATTTGAAAGGATGGGTTGAGAAAGTTGAGGAGGAGACTGTTCATATCAGACCCGAAATGAAAGAACTCCCAGTAAGAAGTACTTATTGTGGTGTTTTTTGATGTGATATCTGAATTAATTTTCAATATTCCTATTGATCTATTGATTTAGTGGTGTGGCTACTTGTTCTTACTGGGATTTGATTTTCCAGAAAACACTTGCCATCAATGAAAAAGAGCTTTGCAAATACTTTGAACCTGGGAATCATGTGAAAGTTGTATCTGGCACTCAGGAAGGTGCAACTGGTATGGTTGTTAAGGTTGAGCAGCATGTTCTCATCATCTTGTCTGATGTAACGAAAGAACATGTGAGTATTGTTTTCCTCTGTCCTTTTAGGAGCAAAGTCATGGACTTCAGGAATAGTTTTCTTGTAAAATAGTAAAGTGGAATTTAAATGATTTTTTTCTTGTTTGAAGATCCGTGTGTTTGCTGATGATGTTGTGGAGAGCTCTGAGGTGACATCTGGTATTACCAGAATTGGGGCATATGAGCTTCATGATCTCGTGCTACTGGAGTGAGTTGCTATTCCATGGTGACCAGTCATCTGTATCATGCTTAATTATTTAACTTTAATTTGTCTTTGATGTGATGCAGTAATAATAGCTTTGGTGTAATCATACGCGTAGAAAGTGAAGCATTCCAGGTATGCACTCAGTTTATTTTTTATTTTTGACAAACATTTCAGGTATTTAATCTCAATATACAGTCTATCTCGTGCTCTTTTGTGCGTTTCATTATTATTACCTGTTTCCAGGTTCTTAAGGGAGTTCCTGATAGACCTGAGGTTGCCCTTGTCAAGTTAAGAGAGGTCAAATGCAAGATTGAGAAGAGTTTTCCTGTGGAAGTTAAGTATAAACACAAGGTATCTGTGAAGGATGTTGTGAGGGTCATTGATGGCCCTTGTGAGGTGAGATGAGATCTATATTGCTTGTTTGGTTTACCTCATTTTTACATTTTGTTCATCTCAGGCTATATATAACCACCACTTTTGGCATGATAGGGGAAACAGGGTCCTGTGCAACACATATACAGAGGAGTCTTGTTCATCTTTGATCGCCATCACCTGGAGCATGCAGGCTTTATCTGTGTTAAGTCTCATAATTGTGCTCTTGTGGGAGGTTCACGTGCTAATGGCGATAGAAATGTAAACCCTGTGTGCTCTTTTTCTGTAGATGTGAACTCTGTATTCTTTTTAGTTAGTTTTGATTCTTGATACTTTTATCCCACTCCTATGATCTACAGGGTAACTCCAATTCACGATATGACCACCTCAGAACTCCTCCTCGTGTTCCTCAGTCCCCGAATAGGTTTTCTAGAGGAGGACCTCCATCTAACTGTATGTTCCAGATGTTCAATGCTCACTGCTCTCCAATTTTTTTTTCATATTATGCTTAAACTCTACTTGTCCTTCTAACGACATTTTCTATATATATTGGGCTATATTTTATTGAAAAAAGTTATTACTTCTATGGTCCAGATGGAGGAAGGAATAGAGGTGGACGAGGGCATGATGGCTTGGTTGGGACTACAGTAAAGATTCGCCAGGGTGCCTATAAGGGTTATCGTGGACGTGTTGTTGAGGTTAAGGGACCAAATGTACGGGTTGAGTTGGAGTCCCAAATGAAGGTTGTTACAGGCAAGTCTAGGATTTCTTGTCTCCTTGGTTATTTGTGTATCTTTCTGGGCCATAACACTTTTGTTATGCTTGCAGTTGATCGTAATTGTATTTCTGATAATGTGGCTGTTACCACACCTTATCGGTAATTATACATTTCACTTTAGTTCTTTTTTCCAGGTATTTAGCATGCTTTTTGTCAACTCTAATATAGCTGTTTTCCAGTGATACATCTCGCTACGGTATGGGAAGTGAGACTCCCATGCATCCTTCTCGAACTCCTCTCCATCCATATATGACTCCCATGAGGGATGCTGCAGGTTTGTTATTTAATTGCTGTGGTTGACATTTTTTTTTATAATTAAAATGTAATCTCTGGTTTGAGTTCTGGTATTTACTTCATTATTTGGACCATATCTTATTTGGCAGTGACATTATTGGACTGATATACTTATTCATCTTATGTACTCCTTGCAGCAACACCTATACATGATGGCATGAGGACTCCTATGCGTGACCGAGCATGGAATCCATATGCACCTATGAGTCCAGCTAGGTTTGCGCCTGAATAACTATTTTTCTTTATTTATTTTGAAATTTAGTTGAAGTAATAAGCACTGCCAAACGTAGTTCATAAGGTTGGGGTAGCAAATAGACAAGACTAGTAAGGAGGAAAACAGAGGAGAATAAAGAAACGGCATGCACTCAATTTCTTTAACCCTCAAAGGCGAAACAGAGAAACTTTATTCATGTTGATTATACACCACTTTATTTCATTAATTAAACTCTATTATCTAGTGCTCATAAGAATCGGATTTGGATTAGGACTCTAAAATGGATAAGTATGTTTCCAACCAACCACTTTTCATTGCATAATCATTATATCTTCAACTACTCAAGTTTTTTTTTTTTTTTATTTTATTTAGTCAACAAGTGCCTTGTGGCCAAGTCTTTGGTTGCCACTGATGTTTCTTTGATATTTGATGGTGAGCAAATCAGGGATAACTGGGAGGAAGGAAACCCTGCATCTTGGGGTGCTAGCCCACAGTATCAGGTCAGTATGAATGCATGTGTTCTCATTTTGGGTAGGGATGTCTGTATCCTTTTTTCTGCTTAAGTAGCTGTAATTTGTTGGATTTCAGCCAGGAAGTCCTCCTTCGCGGGCGTATGAAGCACCAACTCCTGGTTCAGGTTGGGCAAACACTCCTGGTGGAAATTATAGTGAAGCTGGTACACCGAGGGACAGTAGTTCCGCTTATGGTACGTTTAGTTTTCGTTTCTTTGAAACAAATTTTGTTAAGACATGTTTTTCATTGCATAGATCCCTTTACTTTCTCTTATATTTATTCTAAGTGGTTTATTTTATATCCCTCTTGCAGCAAATGCTCCGAGCCCTTACTTGCCATCAACTCCAGGTGGCCAGCCTATGACACCAAATTCGGCATCCTACCTTCCTGGAACCCCTGGAGGGCAGCCAATGACACCAGGCACTGGTGGTCTGGATATGTTGTCTCCTGTTATAGGTTTGAAGCTCAGTTCTTCTATTTTAATTATATTGTAGTGCTGAATTAAACTGTTATTTCCCCTGTTGTGTACTGGTTGCTAAGGTGTAAGCCTAGGTGGTAATGGTATCCCTACAACAATAACGACATCAGAAACTGTCGTTATCTATTTATGGGTACAATCACATGGGGGTTCTGGAGTATTTGGCATCCTAGAGCTCTTTAGGAGGCTGTTGTAGGAGTTGTAACTGTTCATTGGATAATCTGTCTGAAGATTTTATTTAAACTAATAACAAATTGCTTGGCCCTCGTTTGTTTGCTCAAGTTACTCTTTGATCAACTGTCCTTTTTGTCTTAAATCAATCAAAATAATAGATGATAACATGTCACCAGGGATAAATGATTGGGCTTGGCCATTCAGCCATGGTGCTGTGAAAGTGTTTGTTACAGAGGCTATGCCTAGCAATTTCCTAGTTGGACAAGATTGTTAGTGGCTAGGGTGAGGATGACAGGAGAGGGCTGGACAAGTTTGTCGAACTTAGTGCTTAAACGAAACCACATAAATCTGTAGTAAGGAATAGTATTATCATGGTATGTATTACAGTGGAGGAGCTAAAGTAAACAAGAAATAAAATCTTTAGAGAGAGAAACTAAAAACAAAATGTTATCGAACTTGCCCTAAATTTTGATTGCCTGAGAATTTTTAATGCCTAAAACTGTCAAACAGAATGAGGAAGTGGCCTATTTATCGAGCTTGTACAAACGTTGAAAAAAAATTCCTATGTCCTCACATGGTTTGTGAAATGGGTTGTTTGGGAATGTAATTCGCTGATCAATCTTGGGGGACGGGAATGTTTGGGAATATATTTGTCACACACGTGTATATGTATGTTCTTGGCTTTGCTAGAGTTCTATACTCCACATTTGAGTTCTAATCTTACATCTTCTAGCAGGTGGGGACAGTGAAGGACCGTGGTTCCTCCCAGACATATTGGTCAGTGTACACAGTTCTGGAGAGGAAACTACTGGGGTTGTGAGAGAAGTGCTTCCGGTATGTCATTAAACTATGTTCCGAATTTTTGAAATTTTGAAATTTTTGTGATATTTACCAAGTAAAATGATATTTGGACCTGCAAAGGAATGGACATAATGGATTTGGTGAGTTTTACAAATTATAATCTACAAGTAATTGTGCATTCACTTACGACTAGTTGAGGTATGAACTAGGTAGGACAAGAGATAAAGAGTAGGCTATGAAACTGTTTTGGATTTTTGTTTCGGATGCCCTTCGTATGTTATCTATTAACTGCCTGAGTTTTGTCGGAGAATGATCTTGTTCGATGTTTATCATTGAAATAGATACTAAAAGAAATACTGTTTAAGTACCTACGTAATTATTGGAGATACTGAGTACGATGTTTCGTGGTACAGGATGGCTCCTGTAGGGTAGCTATTGGGTCGGGTGGCAACGGGGAAACTATAATAGCACTTCCAAATGAAATGGAGGCGGTGGTACCGAAGAAAAGCGATAAGATAAAGATCATGGGTGGGTCACTACGAGGAGCGACCGGTAAGCTGATTGGTGTTGATGGCACAGACGGAATTGTGAAGGTAGATGACACTCTTGATGTTAAGATTTTGGACTTAGCTATTTTGTCAAAACTAGCCCAATCGTAATTCCGTGGGATCGAATAAAATTTCAATATGTAAATCATCATTGATTTTTTGTAGTATTTTTCTTTTTGGGAAGCAAAAGGCCTTGATTGTTCTGTGTGTGTGTGTGTTAGGTTTGGTTTCTGATGGTTGATTCTATATGTGGTGGGTGTAGATAGTAAACCTCTCAGATAAGAGTATGGATTTAAATAGAAAAAATTATTCAAATTAAGGAAAGATAGAGGTCAAATTAAGGGATGGAAATACTGCATGTAGACGGAGACTAAAATTACTATTTTCATCCAGGAAAATTGATACCTGTTTCTCGGAGTCCAAAATGTTTTAGCCTCGATGTGGTTTATTCCCAAACCTAAAGTCACTTCTCAATTCAATTGTCTAATTTGTCTTTTCCTATTCATGTACTCATTTTTATTGCTTTCTCTTTTCAATTTTTAACCGTCGGATCTAATGAATTCAATGATAAAAAATTTACAATGATTTGTGGGAGCTAAAATTACGTGTTGCTAAATCGTGTATGTAGTGTTCAAATAGAAAAATACTGCAAAATATTTCTTTGTTAGGTTAAACCTCATCCCATTCTGTCATGTCTACGTACCAATAGCTCCCTAAGACCATCTTCATTTCTTGAGTTAAAACCTAAATTTTAGAAATAGTTTTTCTGCTTCAACTTTTTGAGTTAAATTTTTAGTTCGAGATTAGTAAATAATGAATTTAAAATAAATTTTTTTCTTAAAAGTAACTTAAAAAAAAAAAAATTTATGAACCTTTTAACCTAAAAATATTTAGATTTTGATAAATATTGAAAAATTACTAAACAAATACTATGAAACTTGTGGAACACTATCCAAATATATGAAACACATGAATTTTTTTTTTTTTTTTTATAATTATTCTTGCCGTTAGATTTAAATTTAGATTATTAGAACCTTTTTTTTTTTATTTTTTTTTATACTGTTGGATTTTATCATATTTAATCTTAACTATTGGGTTCAATGAATTTATAAATTAGAACTAAAAATATACACATATGATGGGCCATCTCACTAACCCAAGAAGAATTCTAGCCTAAATTTGCTCTAAAAATGAGTTTTTAAGTTAAAACTCATATTGACCCCAAGAGTTGGAACAAGTTGGGATGAGTTTAAAACCTAAAGTTTGAGTTTTACTGCAAGGGTTGGAATGGATCTAAGCCTTGCGTTTTGTTGACTGGCCGTCCCTCCGAACCCGCCTGACTCTGAGTTGCACAACTCAACTCTCTAAATTTTTTGGATTTTGAATGATTTTCAATTGTTGGCATATGTTTCCTTGTAGACGCGCGGGTGTGTGTGTGTGTCGAGTACAACCTACATTTGCAGATACTGAAACAAATCATAGAAACGATAATTCAAAGTACAACTTGTTCAAGCTAATTCAGACAATTACATAGTAAGCAACTCAAACACTTTAAAAAGAAAAGTACATCTCAAAACTGTGTACATATAAAGGATGGAGACCTGTCCTGGCCTGCGCTGCCATCGAAATCAATAAGACGATCTTCCATCACCTTCGGTGATCACATCTTTGAAGGCACCGCCGCTGGGGATCATAGGCAACACATGCTCTTGATGGGGTACTATTACATCCAACAAGTACGGACCAGGAGTGTCCAGCATTTTCTGAATTGCCTCCTTTAGATGTTCCTTCCTCGTCACCCGGGCAGCTGGTATCCCGCAAGCCTCTGCAAACTTCAGCATATTAGGGAATATCTCCGATTCATTTGACGGGTTCCCTAAGTAAGTGTGAGCCCGGTTTGCCTTATAGAACCGATCCTCCCACTGAACCACCATTCCCAAATGCTGATTATTCAACAGCATTATCTTCACTGGCAGATTCTCCACTCTTATGGTTGCCAATTCCTGGACATTCATCATGAAACTTCCATCACCATCAATGTCAACAACAATTTCATCTGGATTTGCAACCGCAGCCCCAATAGCAGCAGGCAATCCAAAACCCATGGCACCTAACCCCGCGGATGTCAACCACTGGCGAGGCCTCTTGTATTTGTAAAACTGAGCCGCCCACATTTGATGCTGCCCAACACCCGTGCTTATAATTGCATTCCCCTCAGTTAATTCGTCGAGAACCTGAATCGCATACTGTGGAGGAATGGCTTCCCCAAAAGTCTTAAAACTCAACGGATACTTCACTTTCTGCTCATTCAGCTCCTCCCTCCACGCCGAGAAATCAAGTTTAAGCTTGCTTCCTTTGTTTTCCAATGTCCGGTTCATCCCTTCCAGTGCCAATTTCACATCCGCACAAACCGAGACATGAGGCTGCTTGTTCTTTCCAATCTCTGCAGAGTCAATGTCAATGTGGACAATCTTTGCTCGGCTAGCAAAAGCTTCGAGCTTGCCCGTGACACGATCATCGAACCTCACCCCAAAGGCAAGCAACAAATCAGACTTATCCACAGAATAATTAGCGCACACAGTGCCGTGCATTCCAAGCATTTGGAGGGACAGTTCGTTGGAGCTCGGAAAGGCACCGAGACCCATCAAAGTACTGGCAACCGGGATCCCGGTAAGCTCCACAAAGCGCCTCAGCTCCTCGCTAGAGTTCAAACAGCCGCCGCCAACATACAAAACGGGCCTCTTGGACTCAGAGACCAACCTAACAATCTGGTCCAGATGGGAGTTGGAGGGGGACTTGGGCAACCTAGACATGTAGCCAGGCAAACTCATGGGTTGGTTCCAATTGGGAACCACAAGCTGTTGCTGTATATCTTTCGGGATGTCTATCAAAACCGGCCCGGGCCGACCCGAGCTGGCCAAGAAAAATGCCTCGCTGACAATCCTTGGGATATCTTCTACATCAAGAACAAGATAATTGTGCTTGGTGATGGATCTCGTTACCTCTACAATCGGGGTCTCTTGAAATGCGTCGGTGCCGATCATGCGGCGGGGGACCTGTCCCGTGATTGCCACCAACGGCACGCTGTCCAGGAGCGCATCGGCGAGGCCACTAACCAAGTTGGTGGCGCCGGGGCCGGAGGTGGCGATGCAGACGCCGGGGAGGCCGGAGGCGCGCGCATATCCCTCGGCAGCAAAGATGCCGCCTTGCTCGTGGCGGGGGAGGACGTTGCGGATGACGGAGGAGCGGGTGAGGGCCTGGTGGATCTCCATGGAAGCTCCTCCAGGATAGGCGAATACATCGGTGACGCCTTGGCGTTCGAGGGCCTCCACGAGGACATCAGCGCCTTTTCTGGGCTCGTCAGGGGCATATCGGGAAGTGAAAGTTTGGGGGTCGGAGGAGGTAGTGGCGGTAGCGGCGGCGGCAGCGGTCGGCTTGGGTGTGGGTTTAGGTTTGAGGGAATTGGAGATGCGGAGAGGGCGGAAGGGAGTGGATCTGTGAGGAATGGAGGAAAAGGGTAGGGTAAATCCGGAAATGGTATTTTGGGAAGAAGGCAAAGGAGGAGGAGAGGGTCTGGAGAAGGAGGAGGAAGGGGATGGAGAGATGGCCGCCATTTTTGACATGATGAGGGAGATTGAATTGAATTGAATAAGAAAGGTTGTCTTCCTCTCTTCCTTTATTGCAAGCCGCCCCGTGAGTGACTTGTTCAAAGACTGGGTTTGTGCCTGTTTGATGGGCTTACAGGCCCATTCGTTGAGCTAGTTTTCCACTTGGTTATTTCTGTTGTTTCCTTGAGGCACTGAGAACCACAAATCGGAGGTAAAATGTCTGTTTTGTGTGGCCTCAAGTTCCTTCAAACTGTCTGCCAGATTTGCAGATTTGTTTGGGGTTGGGGATGGTAAATTCGATCCATAATAATTACTGAAGGAAACTGTTATTAACGTTTTAAAAATTTTATTCTGCACTTTTTAAAAATGTATTTTCTTTTTTCTAATTATAAAAAAGTTTGAAACGTTAAATTAGATTTCTATAGTGCCAATAATAATTCTCTTACTAAACCTCAAAATTAATTGAAACACTGTTCATAAGTACGATATGCTTCATGTTATGCCCTTGCTTAATTTGCGTTATTATAGATCAACCATGTCTCTTCGGTTTAGCGTTTGCTGCTTTAGAGCCCAAACAATAAATACATAAATAAATAACTAAAATACTAACGTAGACAGACCTACCTATCCATTTGCTTAACGAGCCAAACAAATAAGTTATTAACTCACTGTTTTCACGATATGCAAGCAAATTATTCTCGAGAGTGCAATATTACCATCATGCGTCCCATTGGGAAATACACATAAATCATCCAATTAGCGCCTCAATCGCGCTCATGCACTACTCTCTCGGCCGACATCGTCAATAGCTCACAATTTTTGTTACATCACAAACTCAATCTTTCGAATACTTGTTTGCAAAACTCTTCTGTATATCATGTGTTGTGCATAAAATCTCCATGCAACGTCTCGAACGGTGCCAAACTCAAAACCAAAACATGACTGCAGTTGCATACAACTTTAAAAAAAAATAAGTGTCTATCATAACTAGCTAAAACTGTAAAACATACAAAAGAAAAATGTTCTTTAAAGTCCAAGTAGTTCATTCAGACTAGCCGTTAATCTGAGGGTGAAATGTGGTGTTCGACAAATGCTTAGTATGCATAGCCTTCAAGAAGACTTCCCAAAACTTGGTGTCACACCTCGATCCCGACATACATCCAGGATCGACGAGCAATGGTGAACTATAGGGGGATGCTAGGAAATACAAATTGAAATACTGAACATAAATTAGGAATATTTATAGCAACTATGCAACAAAAAGTATAGGGGTAACCTAACACTCCAAGCTCTCTGAACTCTGTTGGCTACCTCAAAGCTTCTCGTATCTACTAAACCTGTACAAATGCCCCTTACACCATGGGAATGGTGCACCAGGCAAACAACAACCAAGATAAGCCGCAAAGCTCATGTGAGTGAAAATAATTCGACATATGTGATAATATTAAAAACTAACCATCGATTTGGCTTATCAACGTTAAATATAAAATCATATTTTATGAAATCATAATTAAGTCATTGAAAATCCCGAAGGAGTCACCTAAACATCCAACGGCTCGTCTAAAAGAAATCACCAAAAGCTCACAACCATAAACTCATACAATACAATGAAGAGTAGGGCTAGAGCGATACAGTTCGACTGAAGCCATCTCTGAAGCTATCTCAATCCAAATTCAATCCAAAGAATCAACAAAGCAATTAATCGGGTTCCGGACTTCTCAACGGACCATAATACCAAACAGGATTATGGACCACTCAACGGAATCCAACCAAGATACGATTCCGAACCACTCAACGGATTCGCAGAGTAGAAGGGATTCCAAAAATCTCAACGGAATTGTGGAGTACAATGGATATCAAACCACTTAACGAAATCCAAGTTGGATACGATTCCAGACAACTCAACCGAATCGCAGAGCATGAGGGATTCCGGACCACTCATAGGAATCCAAACAAAGCAGGAAACCGGACCACTCAATGGAACCCCGGCAAAAACCTAGTTTCGGATTACTCAACGGAACTGAGCGGAAGGCCAACAACCATAATGTACAACGGCTCAAAGAAACGAGACAAGGCACAAGTTACTCAATTTACAAAATTTAGAACGAATTAACGAAGCGGAAAATGAAACAATATCGAAGCAACAAATCCCTATCACAATGGGTTCATGGTCTACTACTAGCCCTCACAATTCATCACAACATGTCAATCATACAAATCAAACCATATTTCAAATATACAGGTCAAATCTCATTTCATAAACATAAATCGATGGCTAAGTATTAAAAATAACAATTCAATAGAAAAAATATTTAAAAAACCAAGTCATATCCACACAGGATCACAATTAAGAAAACAGGGTAATCACCAATATCGCATATTAAGGTCACTCACCTGGAACCCGCAATACAACTCCCTAGCTCGAATGTCGAGGCGTCACGAACGATCATCGCCTAGAACCAATATCAACTCACGTCGCAAAACCCAAGTAATAAACCATATAACTTACATAAAACACATCCCCAAGGACGTTCTAGAATGATTTGGGACCGGTTGACCAAAAGTTAGCCGTCGGTCAAAGGTTAAACGTCGGATCCACAACCTTAGCAATTCAATCCGAGAGATCTGCATACCAGATTTTAGATTCGTAACTTACTAAGGTCCACATTATGCTTCTAGAACAACATACTAAAACCTCATTACGATCCATTGGTTGGATCTTTGCCAATCACAAATTAAGTGGCGGTCAACGTTTGATTGAACAAACTTAGAAATTCAATTCGGGAATATCCGTACGTTGGATTCCCAATCCGTAAGTTCCTAATGTCCTTAACTATTACGTACTCTAACGTCTTAAAGTTTAGTAATGATCCAACGGTCGGATCGTTGATTGGTATAATGTTCAAGTGGCCGACCTTAACGAAAATATGCTCAAACGACAAAATTTCGTTAATAAGATGTCAAATATGGAATCGAGGCATCAAATTTAGCTTAGGATGGTTAGGTGAGGTCTTGGCCCACGCAACGCCGCCATGAACCACCGCACGCAACGCCCGACCACCCTTATTCACCGGAAAATTCAACTTTTTCCAAAAATTACCAAATTTCAAATTTCAAAAAATTCAATGTGTAGAGCAAGTTTTATATATGTGACCAAGTCCAATTTGGCTAGGAAAGGCCCCAAATTGGCTCACACCTGTCAGAAACCCTAGAGTGGGTGAGCTTTGATTCTCCTTCCTCAATGTTTACGCCCCTACAACTGGTTGGGTCTTGTTCCTGGGTCCAAGGGGAGTCAATTAAGGATGGTGGTGGGTGGTGAGACTTGCCAGAATGACGGGTTCACCGTCAAAACTTCATTGGTCACCCACATGGTTTTAAACTTAAAAATCCTCAAATTTGGGCGAATAAGGTAGATGGGGGTTGTGGAAGAGGTTGCAGGTGGTGGATGTGTGAATTTCAACGGAAAAAATGGTAAAAATCATCGGAATCAAATCGAGTTGGCCGCAGGTACACGGGTCGACAAGAATGGAGAGGATATCCCTATCTCCCCTCTCCTGCTTAGCACGCTCTCTCTCTCTCTCTCTCTCTATTATCTGATTGGTCCTTAGTTCCTTTGATCTGATTGGTCCACTTATTTTTGCTAAAATTTGATTGGGCTTCTTCCTTGTGGGAGTTTAATTAATTTAAAATCTATAGTTTAGTAAAACGAATTCAAATGTTCGTAAATATGCCGTTATAATTCGAACTCGCAAATGGCTTTCGCCCATGCGCTCGTGGTTTCGAGATTTATTTGAAAACATTAATTGTGACCTCGAAAGGTCAACGAATTTTAAAGATTAATTATGAAAATTCAAACCCGATAACTATTCAATTTAATTCCTAAAATTTACGAAATTAAAAATTAACTAAAAAAATGTAACACAAAATACGAAATTTAATAATGAAAATACGTAGTCAATAGTGAAATTTCGGGGATTGGATTTCACACTTGGAAGTGAAATGTGCATCATAGGGAGACACATTAGTGACGTGCACACCATGTAGCCGAACAATGTAGTTCACAAGTACCTTAGCGAGTAGATTCATTGTGAATTTCCCTTGGATTTAGCGAAAAACTAAGTCGAGTAGGCTAAAAGAACATTCAAGAATTTGAGGGTCAAAACAGGTTCATCAAATCTAGAATACAAGATAACTGGATTGAACACATAACATCTCGCTATAACGGTGGCTTCTGGAATATTCAATCACCAACGGTAAGGATTCGTTCGGCAGAGTATTTATTGGGTGATTGAGGAATTAATGGTCACAACTTGTCTGGAATGTCTTCCAGCACAAAAGGTGAATATGGAATCGCAATCAACGTAGATGTTGATCGAAACGCTAGAAAAATATGATAAATTCGAGTATGAGTAATTTTACCAAATGGTCTAAAATGTAGTCCTCCCAGGAATTGAGTTAACTTGTCAAGTCGGTTGATAATCGCCGAAACATATCATAATACTCACATGTACAAAATACCTTGTACCGAGAGTTTATGGCAAAATTTATAAACGGCCCTTCTATAAGATGGTTTTTCTTTCTTTTTTTTTTAAATAAAAAAAAAGTAGGACAATTTATTAATATTTAAAAACAGTAACTTAAGTTAAAACATACTTTAGGATTGACTGGTTGTAATTCAATTTAGGCCTTTTAGCTAAAATGGTTATGAGATTTGTATAACTTCTTACTTTGGTCTTTGAGATTTGAGATAAATATAAGTGGTTCCTGAGTTTGTCCATCATCAATCATTTTGGCAATTCCGTAAAAAATAATGTTAAATAAAGACCAAAATGATAAAAATACCCTCACTTTAATAAACAATGATTCAAAATGATTTGACAAAAATTTAAGGGTATTTTTGTTCTTTCCATGAAGCACAGACAGTTGGAGGGAAATGAGAACCACAAATTGGAGGTAAAATGTCTGTTTCGTGTGGCCTCAAGTTCCTTCGAACTGTCGGCCAGATTTGCACATTTGCTTACGGTTAGGAATGGTAATGGTATCCTCCGTCAAAACTGTAGGGATTCAGAAGATGGATGCATATTGAATCTATACTAAAACCCAAAACCAACTGAAACATTGTTTATAAGCACAGTGTGCTTCATGCTTTGCCCTTTGCTTAATTTGTGTTATTACAGGTCGACTATGTCTTTTTGGTTTAGTATGCGTGTTGCTACTTTAGACCAACTTCAATATTTGGACCCAACCCAAATATTTAGGTTCACTGAAAGACAGAATTTAACTTTATGAATAGTGAATGTCACCCAACCATCCAGACCTAAGTTGCACGACCTAAAATGTATTAATTGTTGTGGAGTGGTTTTAACTTAATTATTTCTTTGGTAAGGATTGTTATTATAACTTTAAGTTATGTTATCTCAGTTTAATTTTACGAATGTTTTAACCAACCAAACTTCAATATACATACCAACCAAACTTTAAAACACATTCCAACCAAACTTCAATATCTACTGGTCGAAGCTACCTAACAATCACCAAACAACAATAAAATTTCATTCCTCCCTTTCCCTATATAAGGAAAATTTAAACACAAATCACAAAACATATTATATTTCATATCTATTCAGAGTGATATGTTTTCTCATTTCAACGGCTTCAAGACGTAGTTTGGTGATAAAAATGTTGCAACAACCTCAATGTTGGATGATCAAGCTAACAGACCTGATATATCAGAGTTCGGACATTGGTCATAATCCACAAACTGAAGTTACAATTTTATATTCACTTATATTCTTTATTTATTGATATGTATGTTCATAGAAACTGTCCAATAGAAGCAAACAGATTCATATTGATTACATGCAGATCAAACTTAGAGAAAACAAAGAAAACCGAAAGACGAAATCGAAAATTTAGGATTTAAGAATACAGAACATCAAAAGATGAAGCTTTTTCAGTTTTCATTCCTCCATGTGTATTAGGCAACGAAGACCTTCCCCTTTAAGCATGTACTCAAAAGCCTTGTTGATTTCTGAGAAGGGGACTTCGTGGGTGATGAATTTTTCTAGCTCCAGTTCCTGCAACATTAATTTAATTATCGAGCGTTCACTTAAAACATTAATTTAATTATCAAGTGTTCACTTAAAATTTGGGAAAAAGATGGAAACAAAGCATGAATCGAAATTAGCCTTTTACCTTGTTCATGTACTTCTCCACAACAGAGGGAATGTCCGTTCGAGGCTTGTAGTTTCCGTAGAATGTACCCTTGAGAGTCCTCTCGGTCAGAAAGTTAACTGGATGCGTCTTGAAGACGGCTTCTTTGTGTGGTACTCCCACAAGAACAGCAACACCCCAACCCTAAAATTAATAGCAGTTTAATTATGAATTTACTTGTTAATAATAAGATCACGCTGAAATTTGAAAGAGAGAATTTAGAAAATGGAGGCAGAGAAGAAGCTATAGTATTACATCATGGACACATTCAAATGCAGATATCATGGCTTCGACACTTCCTGTACATTCAATGCTTCTGTCCACTCCTCCATTTGTCAGCTCAGCAATCACCTCTTGAACTGGTTTTTTGTGCTCTTTTGGGTTCACGAATTCTGTCACACCAAACTTTTTTGCTGCAAACGACCAAGTTCAAACGAGAGAGGTCTTGAGAATATTTGTCAATGCAAAAAAATGATAAATGAGAGATTATAGAATTGTGTATTTTACCTTCTTCAAATTTGCTCGAATTCAAATCAACACCGATAATTCTTGAAGCACCAGACAACCTGGCTCCTTCGGCAGCCTAAAAACAGAAGGATCGACTTAGACAAGCATGTTTCATCATACATATACAAGTGAGCAAGCAAGTGAAAGTGATTAAGAGACTTACTGCAAGGCCTACAGCTCCCAATCCGAAAACAGCCACGGTTGATCCCCTTTTCGGTTTTGCAACATTTAGAGTAGCTCCGAGACCTAAACAACACACATTCAAAAAATAGATAAGAAAATGATGTCAGTTACACAACTTGTATCTGTTTGAACAATTTGGCTCTATGCTAATAAACAATTTACCTGTGGAGATTCCACAACTGAGGAGACAGACTTTGTCTAGAGGCGCCGAGGGATTGATTTTGGCAACGCAGCCAACATGAACAACAGTGTACTCACTAAAGGTGGATGTCCCAACAAAGTGGTAGATAGGCTTGCCTTTGATTGAAAATCTTGATTTTCCATCACCGAGCATCACTCCCCTGTCAGTGTTTATCCGGAGGAGGTCACACATGTTGCTCTCTTCTGATTTGCAGTGAGCGCAGTCCTTGCATTCCCCCATGAATACCGGCAGGACATGGTCGCCGGCTTTCAGATCCGTCACGCCCTCACCAACACTCTCCACAATCCTAAAAGTATTAACCAGCAATCCGCATAAATTTTAATTCACGATCAATGATTCAGTTGCACATCATTTGCCTATATGTTCTATTAATTTAGTAACAAGATGATAGAAATGTACATACCCTCCTGCCTCATGACCATAAATTCTAGGAAATAAAGGGTTTTGTCCCTGCAATATAGAAAATCCATTTTAGATTAGGTGTTGTAAATATGTGAATCTTGAATCAATAAAATGAAATATGCTTAAGAGTTAGGAAAAAAAAAAAGAGCAATGGACCATTTTTCAAATCCAATTTACTGAAATGATCAGTTTTTGTCATATTGCCTATATTTGATTTTGATTAGTTCAATAACTGAAATTCAGAAACAATTATTCTGACAAATTTCTCAAAACAATATCATACCTTGGCTTCCCAGAAGTAGACATCAGTGTGGCACAAAGACGTAAAAAGGATCTTCAAGCGAACTTCATTTGCTTGTGGTGGTGCCACCTCAACTTCTTCAACCACCAGTGGCTTCCCTGCTTCCCAAGCTACAGCAGCTACAGATACCAGATAATAATAGAATTAAGGATAAATTAGAATTAGATATCTTATTTTAGATTTTTCTAAATTAAACATCTGTTACTTTTCAACTTTTAATTAAAGTGCTTTTACTTTTAATTAAACTTTATATTTCAGGTATATTCTTAATTTAAGTATTTTATAAATTCTTTTAAATCCATTTCTATGTAAAAAAAATGCACTCAATAATATTCATTAATTTATTGCTATTTTTATGGAATCTCATCCCTTCCTCAATTTAAGGATTCAATTATATCTACTGGGGTTCAAGATTAATTGGATGAAATATAGTTTTTCCAATTTCCAACTCAACATTTTATATAGATTATAAAAAAAACAAGATTCATTTATAATTAAAATTGAGTTTTTTGGGTTACACAACTTACACATAACGTACCATAAGTTTTGTACGTACCAAAATAAGGATAATACAACGTACTAATAACTTGGTACGTACTAAATAAAGAATTGCATAACGTACCAAAAGCTTTTATAACGTAACCCAGATTAAATTTATATAACGTACCAATAACGCACCAAATGATTGGTACGTTATATTTAATATATCTGTTTGGTACGTTATATTTAATATACGTGCATGTTATATTTCATAATTGTATGTTAATAGGATGTTTATGTGTTTTTAGAATTTAAAACAACAAATTATTTGAATAAGAAAAATTCATTTTGAACGAATTGTGATAAGATAAGATAAGAGAGGATGTTTGTGGTGATTTTAGAATATTTGTGATATTATTTTCTGAACTAGTTGGTTAATTAAATGCAATAAAATCATAATTTTTAATTAAAAATTAGTAAAAAAAGTTTGATCAAAAGTTTAAAAGTTATAGATGTTTGATTAAAAAAATTCAAATTTAAGGCATCTATATCTAAATGCCCCTAGAATTAATAAACCAAAAATTAATGAAGGAATTTACTTAATAAACAATCTCAGAAACAAAAAGGAAATTTACCTCTGCAGCGTATGACCTGACCGGCAGTATCACACATTCTTCCTTTGAATCCAATAAACACTTGATGAAACTGAAACTCTTCAAGCTCTTTATAACAACAGTTTGAAGTGTTTAATTTTTTTGGGTGGTGAGAAATAAAAGTCAACTTGTACGGATATTTCCATATGGATAAGTGCAAGTGGGGAGCGGGAGAAACCAAAACCATTCCTTGATTTCAATTGATAGGAGTTTAGTCCCTGGTTCTACATGCTGCAGCTTGCTACTAGGTACTGTTGGCCAATATTTGGTATAAGACTATACTCTCCAATTAATTCATTTTCTTTTCTGGCCGTTTTTTGAGAATTTGCGGGTTTTTGCGCAAAATTTATAAACGGCCCTTCCATAAGAGGGTTTAAAAAAAAAAAAAAAGTAGGACAATTTGTTAATGGTAAAAAACAACTTAAGTCAAAATACACTTTAGGACTCACAGGTTGTAATTCAATTTAGGCTTTTTAGCCAAAATGATCATGAAATTTGTACAACTCATCACTTTGATTTTTGAGATTTGAAACAAATATAAGTGGTTCCTGAGTTTGTCCACCATCAATCATTTTGGGCATTCCGTGAAAAATTCTATTAAATCAAGACCAAAATGATAAAAATACCCTCACTTTAATAAACAATGGTCTAAAATGATTTGACAAAAATTTGAGGGTATTTTTGTCATTATTCTTATTTAATGGAGATTTTTCATAGAATGACCAAAATGATTGATGGTGGACAAACTTAATGACCACTTCTATCGATTTCAAATCTCAAGGACCAAAAAGTGAGGAGTTATGTCAATTTCAGAGACCATTTTGGCTAAAAACTCTTAATTTTACAAATGTTATTAAATATTAATCATAAAGAGATACAAACATAACATTCACTATATAATCAAAAGCAATTCAATTTTAAACAACCAAACAAGTAAAAAAAAAAGGGTACAAAAACTCTAAATTTAAAATATCACTTGAATATATAGCATTATTATGTAAATAAATTGAAAAAAAATTATTTTTTAGGATGTTGTTATTGACACTCCATGTGACAGCCCGTCCCGGAAATGTCTAACGTATGCGTGAAAAGACTATTTTGCCCCTACCTTGTTTTCTTTACGTTTGTTGGTTGTTTGAGTTGGTTGGCATGTTTGGAGCCACACACACACACTCCCACACTGCACTCCCTTCTTTCCCTTTTCCTGTGACTGTCCCGAGTCCCCAGTTCCCTTCCCATTTCCTTCGAACGTACGGACACACACCCAAAACCCATCAAACGTCCACAGATCAAGGGAACCAAGACCATATTCGAGCTCGTGAGGCTCGTACGAGTCCAACCGTACCATTTCCAGGTAAGAACTCCATCGTTTTCACGTCAATTCAACGATGTCCGATTTGAGGTACTATTCATGCACACGTGATTTCTCACGTTTTAGGAAATTCCAAGCTTGTACGAAGCTTGGTGAGGTCCCAAGGAGGCTCGGAGTAGTTCGTTTGAAGGAATTGGACGTCGGGATCGTTGGTTTCGAAGTTGGCCGGAGTTGGATTGATTTTTCAGGTGAGATTTCGTAGTTTTTAACCCTTGAATGTGGTATGATTGTGTTCCTCTAGTTCTAAGCTTCATTTTGGTACCAAAATCGTGAAAATTGGATGAAAAACAAAGAAGATATCGAAGTTTAAAGTTTTCGCGATCGCCGGCGCCGGAGGTTCGCCGGGGAAGAAGACGGAATATTCCGTCAAGTCTGACGGAATATTCCTGACGCCGTTGACGGAATCTGTCAAAACTGACGGAATATTCCCTACGGCGTCAGTTGACGCCGTCAGCGTGCCAGGCACGTGCCTACGCGTGGCCGGCGCGTGGGAGCGCGTGCGGCGGTGAAAAATTATTTTAAAAATTTGGGGATGTTTGTGAGGTTGAGTAGATCACGTTGGTGTATTCATACACCCCATTTGAGCAATGTATGAGAAGTTATTTCGAAAGTTTGGTTATGTGCTTTAAAATTAACGTTTTTATAGTTATTTCGCATATAGGTGAGACATATCCCGAGGACGAGCATGGTCACTCGAGGCAGGGGGGCTACGACCCTTCCACTTATCAGTGAGTGGGCTTTTGGTTTTCCGTATATACCTATATACTTATATTTTCCCAGAAATTGATTTAAATGTTTATTTGTTATATGCCATGCATTATATTATCGTCATTTATGCATCATTAGTTGCATTATTGGGCGTATATATATTTATATACATATGCATATTTGGTGTTGTGGACGCACAGGTAAGTGTCAGGTAAGTGTTATTCACGTTTATATTCAGTAGTGATTCGAGATGCTTAGAGAGCTCATAACCTGCACCCCCGGTGTTAGTGCTCCCGCCCAGAGTAGGGCACAGTCCTTCACGTGTTGTTCACCTCCCGCACCATACGCTCAGCTTGGATCCAAGTTAGGTGCACAGTCCTGTCATACAGACCACTTTAGGTGGTTCCGACTCGTAGGTGACCCGCGATTATTCGCACAGCCTTCACGTGATCGTAGCACTAGAGCGTTTATATGTATTACACCCAGGCCTGTCGTACAGACCACTTTAGGTGGTTCCGACTCGTGGGCAGGTTTAGTTATTGTGATTGAGATCTGAGCTCTAGATACAGCCGTACAGGTCACGTTAGGTGACTCCGGCTGCCAAATTATATGTTATTGATATGATTTATACCTGAGCACTTGCATTTCATTCTGAGGTTCCGATATGGCATATATTTGAGCATGATTGGCATTTTTATATCTACGTACATATGTTTATTTTCTGGGAAGTATACAGGTTTTACGGCGAGGGGTTAAAATATTGTTTTTGAAATGGTTTTCGAAAAGCTTTGTTCTTGCCCACTCACGCTTTTGTTTTGCGCCCCTCCAGGTTCTAGCTGTTCAGTTGGTTTGGTGGTTTCCTAGAGGGCTTTCCCGGCATTTCTGACAGACGATCACCAGCGTAGGGCCACCTTCGGGTGTACTGTTGCAGTGTCATTTTAGTTTGGACTACTTTAGGCTTTCTGCTCTGAACTTATGTCTCACTTACGCTAGCACTTATTACTTTTACCTTATGTATGCTAGTTTTTATTTATTCGTACTTTCATGTTGCTACTTTTTAGCTTCTGCACTGTGCACATGGCTACGTCACTTCTACGTGACGGCCAGCACGCCCTGATCTCGTTCGGGGTGTGTCAGTTTGGTATCAGAGCCTAGGTTTGACAGTCCTGTACTTTTGTGAGTATTTTAATGGTTTTGGTGTCTTCTGTCAGAACTATGCCGCCTCGTCGGGAACCACGTCGCTCTGCTGAGCCTAGTTTCCCCAATATTGTTAAGCTGGGGGAAGCTATTGCTACAGCTATTCAGTCGGCGATCCGCCCTCCCCAGAGGACTCCTCTGGAGACTATGTATAATTTGAAGTTGGATAAGTTTGAAGGTAATGAAGGTCATGAGGGGGTAGAGCGATGGTTAGAGCACATTGAGAAGACTTTTCGTGTTCTGAACAATCAGGGTAATCTCCCTGTCGAGAAGTGGGTAGAGACGACCTCGTGGTTTCTGGGTTCGGAGTTTGCAGCCTGGTGGGAGCAGGAACTTCGTCGTTTGACTTCAGCTGAGAAGACTGATTGAGATGTTTTCATTAATTTATTCAAGAAAAGGTTTGTGCCACCTGAGTACATTGATCGTAAGAAGCAGGAATTTACTGAGTTGAAACAGAGGAAGCTGACAGCGAATGAGTACTATCGGAAGTTCACTGATTTATCTCGCTATCATCCTGAGATTGCTGGTAATCTGGCGGAGATGCTTCGTCGTTTTCGCTTAGGCACTAAGAAGAAATGGCGTTCGATGGCGACCACTACTCATTGTAATACTTACCAGGACTTATATGAGATTCTGCTGAGAGTTGAGGACTCAGAAAACATGTCGAGTGAGAGTGATGAGGAAGAGAAGAACGGTAATCAGAAGAAAGATGATAAGGGTAAAGGTCAAGCGTCGCTCGGGCCTCGTCGGACTCAGAATTTCAAGAGATGTGGTACTAGTTCTAGCTCTTCTAGTGGTGGTTTCAGCGCCACTGGTTAGGGACGTGGAGGTAGGTTTGCTGGTGGTGCTAGAGGCCAGAGACAGGGTGATGGTGGCCGAGGTAGGGCCCCACTTTGCCGCAGGTGTAATAATCGGCACTTTGGTGAGTGTAGGCGTGGCAGCAGTGGTTGTTTTACGTGTGGGCAGATGGGACATCGGGCTGCGAATTGTCCCCAGAGTCAGCAGCAGAAGCCGCAGCAGACTTTATTGCCGCCACTTGCGCCGATTCAGCAGATTCAGGGTCCGGGTAGTTATGGACAGGCAGGTCGAGGTGGTGCCTATCACTATCAGGGTGATGTTGTTCCTTATGCCCCGGGACAGTATCAGTATCCCCATGACCCATATTCTCAGGGTGGTTATCCTCCGTATTCTGGTGGCTATATGCCGTATCCTCCAGCTCCTGCAGGTGGTTCTCAGTGGTTTCAGGGAGGACAGTTTCAGCAGGGAGATATTGCTTCGAGTAGTGCGGGGTCTTCGAGGCAGTCTGGTCAGCCCAGTCAGGGGCGTGGTACTCAGAGTCGTGGTGGTCAGACGAGCAGAGGTCGCGGTGGACGACAGCAGACCCAGGGGCGTATTCATAATATTTCGCTGCAGGATGCTCAGAACAATCCGGATTTGATCATAGGTACGTTAAATATACTTGGTTATTTTGCTAGAGTATTAGTTGATTGTGGTGCTACACATTCTGTGATTTCTCATACATTTGGTCAAGTGACGCAACCTCGCCCCACACCTCTAGGGTATGATTTAGAGTTCGCTATGCCTAGAGGGGAGAGATGTATTGTAGATCGTGTGTACCCAGGGTGTCCAGTGATAGTGGAGAACGTTGTTATGCCAGCTGATCTTATCCCGTTAGATATTGTTGACTTTGATGTGATTTTGGGCACAGATTGGTTGCATTTTTATCATGCCAATATTGATTGCTACGGGAAAATAGTTACATTCCATCGTCCTGGACTACCTGTGGTTACTTTCGTGGGTGAGCAGAGTGGGGTGAGACATGGTGTTGTCTCTGCTGTGCGAGCAACAAGATTGTTAGCTAAAGGTTGCCAGGGGTACTTAGCTCATGTGGTGTTGGATGAGACTCCTCCTAGTAGAGTTGAGGATGTGAGGGTCGTCAGACACTTTCTCGAT